AAAATAAAATGTAAATTATATTACATTATCTTTATGACCTTGTAAGTTGTTATTATAGATTACATGCTGTTACCATAATATCATACTATTCAACTATAAATTGACATAACATCATATAAGCAGGCTGTGTAAGATCAATGTATAATTATTTATCTATTTAAAAAATAAAAACAGATAAGACTAGGATTACAATGTTTATATAGAATCTTATTAAATACCTTATTGTTTCATTACATATTTATTTTATATTATACCTTTATACAATTTTAAAACAAGTATTGCCAAGATAAATGCCTTATTTTCTATTTATGTATATAACTTATTCAATATTAKGTTAATTTTATATTTTAACAACAAATGAAACCATTGTTATTCATTCAATATTTGATAACGGTGTCTAATTTTTTACCATCTACAATTTGTAGTGCACTTGTGTTAATCGTTATGTGTTTGAACCTACTGTAAAACAATTAAGGTTATTGACATATTAAATTGGCAACACAAAGAGTTAGTAAAAAAAAAATGAGATAAAAAACCCTTATACCCATAATTATGAGTGATTGAGAGATATAAAACTAGAGATCACTATTTGTATATTAATAAATGAAAAGCTTATATAAATTTGAATAAACTTTGATAAATTTATAAATCATAGAGAAAATTTTATTGACTCATTAATCGAMCATTCGAGCACATTGAATTTTTATCACATATTGCAAAACAAAAATGTTTTATCCAAAATAGGATTTAATATTTGATGATTTTCTAAATGACTAAATAACCGAGAAAAATCTTTTGTAATTAATTCAAAAACAATAATTATGTTTTTTAAATGTATATATTTTTAGAATACATCTATTGATTACCGTCACCAGTAAGCTATTTGCCTATTGACGTAAATTGCTAATGTCACTGTAACTCCAATTTAAAAATAAAAAATAAATATTTAACTATTCTTAAACGATCAAAACAAGTAAATTAAGTATAAGAAAAGGCTTTACATCAGGCTCATAAAAAAWGTATTAATTTAGTTTACTAAAATTAAATAGACCTATCAACTTAATCATTTAAAATACCATTTACTCACCATTAATTTATTAAATGTTAAATGATTGTTTAAGCAATCCAGCATTTAAGTAAAAAAATGTAACGTATGTACCTATAGGAGCTTTTGGAGTGGATTTTACTCACCATAGTGGAGATGGGCTTGATAGAGTTAGAAAAGGATTATTACAATACGGTGTAACTGGATTTTGTCCTACTATTGTCTCAACAACCAGTTCAAATTACCATGAAGCAAGTATAATATTAAAATACTTTTAAATTATTTTGGTACTTACTATTAGTTTTGGTTGTGTGCAGCGGCGTAGCCAGGATTTTTTTTCGGGGTGGGGGGGATTTTTTAAAATTTGTAAAATACAATTTAAGACTTTTTGATTGAATATTAGTAGATCATTACAATAATTTTTAAATTTTATTAACATTTCGGGGGGGGGGGCTGCAGCCCCCTGGCTACGCCACTGGTTGTGTGTAATTGTTGATAAACTAATTCTTGAGTTATGAAAATTAAAACTACATCACTAGTATATATAGGGTGTAACAGAAAGATATGRCAAATGAAACATATAAGAGATATGACATTCTGTCATCTCTTTCTGTTACTAACTGTAACTGTATACCATATATTATTATTATAATGAAAACATACAAAAAATGTTATTAAGAAATTAATTATTTATATAAATTATTTTCATAGTTATTATTAGATTTTATAATTTAGTTAGGTATACCATAATTTTCATTTATATTTTATTTTCAGATATTACCAAAGTTCAAACGTTGTCATGGTAATGAACAAGGAGCTGCCGTTTTAGGGGCACATGTTGAAGGTCCATTCATTAATAGTCTAAAACATGGGGCACATAGTATTTCTAATATAAAAACCTTTGAAAATTCTAATTTAACAGATACTTATGGTAGCTTAGATAATATAGTAATAGTTACTCTAGCTCCTGAACTTAATGGTTCAATGGAGATAATAAAACTATTATCTAACAACGGGATYGTAGTATCATTAGGACATACATCATCAGATATGGAAACTAGTATACAAGCAGTAAAAAATGGAGCTACATTTATTACACATTTATTTAATGCAATGCTTTCTGTAGGTATACTTTATTACATAACAACAAYTGTTTGAACAAATTGTGTTTATAGTTTCATCATAGAGATCCAGGATTGATTGGACTAATAGCATGTCCACCTAATGTTGAGAAGCCATTATTTTTTGGTATTATAGCTGATGGTACTCATACACATCCAGCAACATTAAAAATAGTCCATAAAGTCAACCCAAAAGGACTTGTATTAGTAACAGATGCATTGTCAGCCATTGGACTGCCAGATGGAATTCATCACTTGGGTGATAAGCAGATTGAAGTAAAGAATTCAAAAGCATACATAGCAAATACAAATACATTATGTGGTAGTGTGACTTCTTTAGATGAATGTATGAGATATTTTATTAAATCAACAAGTAAGTTTATAACTTGTGAGTTTAATAATTGATATAATTGTTTATGAATAAAAAATATATTTAAAGATTGTAGTGTTGCTGAAGCAATTGAGACAATAACCTTACATCCAGCTCAAGTTTTAGGTATTCAACAATTTAAAGGCACACTTAACTATGGAGCTGATGCTGATTTTGTTTTTTTGGGGCGTGAATTGAATGTTCAATCGACTTGGATCAATGGACAATGTGTGTTTGAACATAATAGTGGACCTGGTTATATCGTGAAAAAAACTACATAATTATTTTTTAGTAATTACTTCACAATTTATTAATTTTTGAACCAATATTATAATTTAATCAATAATATCACTTAATGTACATATTATGAAACTTAGATTGAATATAAAGACACTAATGGGATAGTCCCATTAATTGATTAAAGAATGTAATAAAATAAATACAACTTAGAAGTACGTTTTTCAATTTACTGTCTTGCTTCTGGATTTGATGCCCCAGCAATCATCATAAATATGACTAATGGTAATATATACATCCACTGAAATAATATGTTTATTAGTGACCTAACTATTTCATATAATTTATAATTGAACAAGCCATACTTTTGATTGGTTTATTAATTGTAAATAGATTATTAAYGTAATTTACACAAATTGTAAAATAAGTATATAATATATATAAAAATAAATATATTTTATTAATGTAGGACATCTTAAAAGAAAATAATATAGTGTGTTATGTTAACCTGATTTGTTTTTTTGTACTTTTTCAATGTATTTATTAATTTTAAATATATTTTTACTTACATATTTTCCAAGCATTGATTTATTATTGCTTGATTTTCCTTTTTCCCTAGCGTCACGTTCACGTTCCATTTTCTGAATATAAGTTGCAGTATCAGGTCTATAAATAACCAAAAAAGTTAAATAAATATATATGTTAACCTAATCTATATAAATAATACAACATTTTAATGTAACAAAATCAAAATACAAACACTGGACTGCTTTCTGGTCTTCTGAAAAATACTGTAGTTGTATAGTCACTAGTGTTCAATTCATTAAAACTGTTGCAGTTGTTAGATGTAGTAGCTAAGTTAACTGCAAACGGAGAGTCTAAATGATCCAAATGTAGGGTCAGTATATCATTTAATTTAGATCCAACGATAAGACATGCTCTAGTAAAAGTGAGAAAATGTATTTCTTTGCCAGACAATGTTTTGACAGTCACTTTTAATCTGTATAATTCATTTTTAGATGCTAATTGCTATAAATAAATGAATTTAAATACAAAAATAGTTAATTGAATATTTATTAAATTATTACTTTTAATAACTGTATGTCTGAATCATTAATAGATGTAGTAGATACAACATCATTCCTAGACTCCAAATTCACAAGAATAGAACTGCGTTTTGTGAAACCAGCATTGGGAATCAATTCATGTTCTAAATAAATGTCAGTTATTGAATCATAACTTGAATCCTGAAAATAAATTGACAAATTATAATTATTTGACACAGTTTATTTTCAATACTCTTTACTTACAGAACAGTAAATACCACTAAACACTGAATAAAATAAGAAGATTAGTTTATAATGCATCATGTTGACGTTTTTCCTTTATCCTTTAAAATAAAAAAATAATACATAAGAGATTAAAATTTAAAAAAAAAAACATTTGCTTTGCACCAGTAACAAATACTATAACATAAACTAAATTATGTAGTTGACATAGAAAGTATTGTATTTAACAATATGTTAACAGACTACAATTTAAAAAAACTCATATTCATAATGGATAAAATAATTTATAACAATAAGTAGATTACTCACTAGTCACTATATAGTCAGTTATCACTATACAATACTATTACTCAAGGTGGATCTATAAGATCTAATGTGTAACTTTAGTTTCCATCATAAACATATTCTAATAGTTACTGTTTAATTTTTAATATTGTAGTAGGGTCTAGGTTTCCAATTTTCAATCTTAATTAATTATGTCTAAATGTGTAATTAATTTAATTTTTAATTAAAAATCTTAATAGTTATTAGTTAATAATGTTAATATTATCTCAAACCACAGAATTATATTATAGAGGATATTGTGTTTTGTGTGTTTATGATAGGTACTATGATACGTTGATATGGTACGATAGCGGACTGAAATGCTTATCACGCATGCGCTATGACTATTTTATCAGTTATCAATAATTTCTAGGCTTATCAGAGAGTAAAGTTGTAGGCATAGCACGATTTAAGATAGTACTATCTTAAATCGTGAGGCATAGACCTGTCCTTATACTGAGTATAAGGTCTATGGTTGTAGGGGACTATTTTTATTGGTCTATATTTTTCGTGTACAATATTTGAAATATAATAGGTATATTGTGCCATGGACAAGTGTCAAGTAATCTCGTGTACACAGTCAGTCGTCCAGTCGTGCTTAAACGCTTAGTGCTTRCTGCTTAGTAGCGTCACAAATTATTTATTATTTAATAATAATATATATTTATTTTATTTATTATTTATTTTTTTTACTATTAATCTATTTAATGTTCTGTGATAGTATTGATTATAGAATAGTCTATTCCAGAGGTATTCAAACTTTTTCAGCACGCGGCTCCTTTGGGTGTTCACAATATTTTTACGGCTCCCAAATTATTATGAAAAAATTAAAACAAAACACGGATACAATATGGGAAATATGCTATATGGGTARTAATAACAGTGACTAGAAATAAGACTTCAAATGGTCGAATCGCAAGGTGTGTCGTTTTAATTTCCATAACGATTGCAAATAATATTTATAATAATTATACAAGACCTATAGGTATGATATTGGTTTTCGGTGCTTTGACGCGTGGCTCCCTTGGCAAACTCTCGCGACGTCCATGGGAGCCGCGACGCACAGTTTGAATACATCCGGTCTATTCTATAAATTTACACGCCTATGGAGTATATTACGTATTTATGTAAATAATAAATATCACAGTATTTTGTAATTTTGTGTACCTATTATTGTAAATTGTACTATTCAGTAACGCAAATCACCCAATTTATATATGACATATGTCATAGTAGATTTTTCTGATGGGGGGGGGGTCACGACGAGAAACTGCCGTGTACTGCATACAGATTACATAATATACGTTTAATTGTTTAAACATAAAAATATACGGTTAAAGTTACACTTCTTATTTATAGACGATTTGATTTACATCTGATGACTGATGGTGAAATTATAAAAATAGGAGGTATGATGATAGGCCCCCCTTGATGTACGATGTCATAGTATATTTTAAACACTTCGGCGCCCCTGATACTATTTGTACCAGTAGAGATGTTACGAACCATAATATTTAAGGTCGAACCGAACTTTTCTTTAAATTAACGAACTCGAACAGATCCGAACCTACACACTTTTAAT